TGTGTGTGAGAGAGTGTGTGTGTGAGAGAGTGTGTGTGTGAGAGAGTGTGTGTGTGAGTGTGTGTGAGTGTTTGAGTGTGAGTGTGAGTGTGTGTGAGTGTGTGTGTGTGTGTGTGTGTGTGTGTGTGTGAGTGTATCAGAGGCAGTGTCTCCTCAAAATATTGGATGTGAAAAAAATTTGTAGTAGAAAAATAAAACAAGGGCAATATTACAAAACATAACATTAAAAAGTGTATCTAACAGTTATCTAACAGCGACACCAGCAGGTAAAGTAACAGCAGGAGTCTGAGCCCATTGAGTTTTAACAGACCAACTGAAGCGGTGCGGTAATTGAGAATGAATGGGGAAAAAATCACGTGAGAGGAGGCAAAGCCTCCATCGCGATATGATTGGATATGACTGGTTATGTTCGGCTGATATATATAAATCAAGAATGTCCATTTAAGAGACGTTATGAACCTGGTTGACTCAGTTTCAGCCTCTCGTCTCAGTTTGTGATGTTCCACTCTGGACTCACCTGCACAGTCCGGACCCCGAAGACCAGAGCCGGATGATGTGCACCTCCATCTCCACGGGCTGGTCTGACGGGACGCAGCCGTGTACCTCCTGCTCCTGCAGCTCTGACGCCAGATAGTTCTGAGACAGAAAGAGAGGCCGCAGGCAGCACTCACTCGGCATGCTGGGATCTGGAACCCAGACGAGAACACAATAAAACACAATTCAAACTATTTACATGAACAGAGGAACAGTGTGTGTTTTTACCTTCTCCCAGACGGAGGTAAACGCGGTTGGCACGAACAGTGTGCGTGAGCGACGAGATGGTGGCATGACGCTGGAGGATCCAGCGCAGAAGGACACGGGGCCGCGGCGGCAGAGACTGAATCTGCTTCACGCAGATAGACAAGCTCGAAGACTCGGCCGTGGAGTTCAGAGACACCTGGGAGAGCAGGTGAACGCCTAAGTAACATTTACATTTAGTCATTCTGCAGACGGTTTTATCCAAAGAGACTTACAATTAGGGAATACATAAAGCGATTCTTCTTAAAGAGGCAAACAGACACAGGAAGTGCTCGTAATACCAAGTTTCAGGCATTGTTCAAATAAGTACAAGCTAGAAAGGGAAGGAATAAATAAAGAGAAAGACAAAGTTTTTTTTATTTTAGGATGAAGTCAAGTAGTGTCGAAAGAGATGAGTTAAATGTTTTCTCATTAAAGCAACTGTAAGTTATTTTTCCTCTTAAAAAATCTATTTGAAAATAATAAAGCGAATGGCATCTGTTTAGTTTGGTGAGCTGGTACGAATTTCCGTTAAAAAGGCAGAGTTGCTTTTCGGCAGCAACAAATGAATGATATCCACTGACATTTTTAACTTCAAACCGTTGCTTCTGGCTAAAATATGAGTCCATAAAACTTTCTCCAATGAAAAACTTGTCTTGTCTGAATCAGGAGAGTAATATACACAAATCAAGCACTGTCTACAAGCCAAAACAGCTCTAAACAAATATGTTGTTTTATTTTAATGCGGGAGGACAACAGGAGATGGACTTTTTCACTGGAATAAGCGATATTAGGACTCATATTTTAGCCGGAAGCAACGGTTTAAAGTGAAAAGTGTCTCGATGGATTTGTTTCTTATAAACACGCAGTTTTTCTCTTCACAAGACATTAACTGATGGACTGGAGTGGTGTGGATTACTTGTGGATTATTGTGATGTTTTTATCAGCTGTTTGGACTCTCATTCTGACGGCACCCATTCACTGCAGAGGATCTATTGCTGAGACACTGATGCTAACTACATCTCAGATGGCCTGATGGTGAGTAATAATTCAGCAAATTTTCACTAATATTATTAAATAATAAACAGTATTAGTAATAGATATTAATAAAATATTATATATATATATATAGATCAGATCAGTGAGTCAGTGTGGGACAATAAGCAACATCACACACCTGCACCATCACGTTGATGTTGTGCGACAGTCCTTCGTTTTTCAACACCCAACGCACAGCATGCTGGGAGCACAGGACCAGAATCACTAACCGGTTGACGGGACGAGAGATGGTCAAAGGTCTCAACACCACCGTGACCTGCGGAAAAGACACCCGAGTGTGATGGGTGCACACCAACTGGACGAATACGAGCAGACAGACATCTCATACCTGTTTATTGGAGGCTTTGCCCACAGAAATCACATGGGTCTCTTTAGCTCCGCCCTCTCTGGCCGCACAGCCTGTTCCCACCTCAAAGCACTCCAGTCGAGCCTGCACTGGATGCAGCGCCCCCACAGGCCACATGGAGCACTGCAGCTCCCTGCTGGACACTGACACACACAGAGATGACTTAAAGGGGTCATATGATGCTATTTTAAAGATCATTATTTTGTGTATTTGGTGTAACAGAATATGTTGACATGCTTTAATGTTCAAAAACACATTATTTTTCAAATACTGTACATTATTGTAGGTCCTCTATGCCCCGCCTCTCTCAAACACGTCGTTTTCAACAAAGCCCCCTCCTTTGACAAGCGCAGTCTGCTCTGATTGGCCAGCTGACCCAGTGCATTGTGATTGGCCGAACACCACAAGCACGCGTCGGAAATGTAACACCCCTTACCATAATCGCGAGCGTCAGCTTTCAAAGTAAATATCAAGACAGTTAATAATGTTGTTAGTTTTACCATCAGTTCAAGCCTGAAAGGGCAACAGAAAAGCGTGACAGACACAAGCCAGATGCAGTACACAAGCCACGGTTAAGACAGCTGACGTGCTATGATTTCTACTTCAAGATCACTGAACATAAAGTTTCAGAAAAATGTGTTAGTGCTGTATTTTCTTTCATCGAAACCAGAGGATTTGCTATAATTGGTAATATCAGTGTTATTTCAGTATTATTTTAAATACTATTATAGTTTTTATTAATATTTTGAATTCGTTTTTTATATAATTTTAGTTTTAATTTCAGTTTATTTTCTAGTCAGTTTGTTATATGCATTTCGTTTGTCATTTTATTAGTTTTTGAATTAGCTTTTATTTTTATATTTTCAGTTTTTGTTTCAATCTTAGTTTAATTTTGAATCATTTTGTTGTGTTGTTGTCATTTTATTTTCTTATGAAATTTTTATATCTTAAATTTTAGTTTAATTTGTAGTCATTTTAAGTGTTGTTTTTTCATTTGTGTTCATTTTTAATATGTTCAGTTTTCATTTAAGTTTAATTTTATTAAGTTTAATAGTAATTTTGTTCTGTGCTTTTGTATTTTTTTGTACTATTTAGGTTTAATTTAATTTAATTTAATTTCACTTTTAGTTTTTATTTTCTAGTTAATAATTAATCTAGTTATTTCTATTTCTATTTTCTATCTAATTATTTTCTAGTTAATAGTGATTCAGCTTAAACTTACTTCAAGTAGGGCAACATGTCTATCTATCTCATCTTATTTTATTTCAGCTTCTTGTGTTATGTTTTTAAATACTTTAATACTTAATAAATACTCAGTTAATAATAGTTAACTGCAATAACCCTGGGTAATAGTATGTTTTGTAATACCATGGAAAAATCATATCTTACAGTACCATGATAAGCAATTATTAATATGGTAATTATTATACAGTACAGTACAGATACCATTACTGTACCATGGTACGTCACAGTACTCCAAAACACACACGTGCTAATACTCACTCACACGTATTTAACGTTCAGTTTACGTCCAACTCAGAGACGCAAATGAAACTCACACACCCGTCATACACGGCGCAGGACACTGTTAATGCATTCGCACAAAATCACCACACATCTACGCAAGCTTTCACATGCAGCCTTGAGAAATACATCTGGTTGCTCTCTCTTTCACCTGCATCACTGAAACAACTGAGACCACAGCTTGATCATCTTTTGTATTCTGCATGACACTGTGGGCATTTTCAAGTGGGTTTTACCTGCAGTTCCAACCACAGCCAGCAGGAGGAAGAATACAGCACTGCCCGTCCAGGGCATCATCCTTCAGCACTTCACAGATTTCAGGATCAGATTTCTGGCTTACACTGACATACACTAACAGATAAAAGGAGGAATGTGACAGTGAGTGAGACAGAGGTGCAGAAACACGACAGAAGGAAATTCTGAAAAAAGCCCACACCCCAATATTCAGATGTTTTTTTAATTTTTTATAAATGACTTAAACTTTTTATTTTAAACCATGCACTGATAGCACACTTACATCATGGAGACGTCTATTTGACGTCTGCATTTTACATCTGCAAGACCTATTGTGAGTGCGCATCAGTTGCCAATAAAGCAGTCCATGTACTCCGTTTTTCTTGTTCAATATACTGCTTTAATCTTGACTAAAAGTTTTTGATTAAAAATAAAATTAAAGAAACAAAATATAATCTTACATCTTAAATATCACGTATGTGCGGTAAAGAAAACTGTGTGACTCCGCTGTATTCCAAAGAACGCACTGCTGCCTGACTTAACAGACGCGATTCTTAAAGAGCCAGTACACAATTTCAACATAGTACACATTTTCAATGTAAAATACAGAATATTTGTCTAAATTGTACACGTGAATAAAGTAAGTTTACAAGTGCAAACAATCCAAATCAAAATATTCAAAGCTGAAATGGAAAGGAAGTCACATTTCAGTTGAGGATTTGAAGGATGCTGAGCTTGAAATAGTGAAGTACTGTCATAAGGACCTTTCGCACCGCTTTAGTTCCAGAACTAAATGTACAGTACTAAAGTACTGGGACGATTTTGCGCGAACTATTTCCCAGTACCATTTAAAGGGTTGCATTCGCACCGACAGTGTGTACTAAGAAGTGACGGCGTTCAACAACAGAAACAAAGAAGAACAACATTAACAACAGGAGGATGGAGGACGCTGTGATCGGAGCTGTGTGTTTGTTGTGTCTCGCAGGTTTCACAATAATGGACATGGAAAGTCGACGTATACGTAAAGCGATTGAAAGAACGGAAAGGAGGACTAAGAATCTCCAACGACAGCCGGCAGTGCTACATTTGCTACAAGTGCCTGCACTTCAGCGTCCGTCCATCTATCGCTGTTCTCCATACTTGCGAAATAAGTTGACACAATGTTTACAGTATGTTTACACAGCGTTTTAAATCATGGCGGGTGAGGGCGTTTTCATACGCGTTTGGCCAATCAATGTCTACTTACATCACG